TTGTCCGCCTTTAGATGAACTAAATTTGCTGGTGGATGCTCCCACTCTGAACATGCTGCAAAAAGGTCTGGCCACACTTCCCCACACCCTCCCCAGCCTCACAGAGCTAGGGGGCGTTGTCAGACTGCCTAAACTCCTGTAAGGTTCTAGAAATTTACGGACAAGTCTTTAAAATACATTTGCCTTATGCAACTTACTTTCAGCGAATCGTCACAACGCGTGTGCTGTGGGTGTCAGGATCGTGTGCATGTACTGTTGATTCTTTGCTATTTGTATACCATTTTTGTGGCCAATGTTATTTTTTCTTTGTACACCAGCATTCAAAGATGCACATCATCATTGCCCTTGTTGTCTCACCTTACTTGCCATCAAAAGGCGATGACAATAACTAACGTATCCGGCGACAAATGCTCATTTGTAAACAGTGATGAAGTGATTTATTGACTTTATTTCTCAGGCTTAATTTTATAAAGAACTGTTCTTCTTTCATTGAATAGCATGTGTGTGAAACCTGAATGGTTATCCTCTATAGCAGCATCCTAACCCACCTTATGGTCAGTCACTGTGCTTTACACAACAAATGAGAAAACAAAATATAAAATGTAAGAAAGAAAATTGGCCGGAGAAACGGTCCGTCCCGGCTCTTTTTCACAAGCGAGTATTGGGTTGCAAAAATTCAGTCGGTTGATCGGGAAGACACGGTAGTGGTCAAAAGTATTCGTCAAGATGATTTCTCAGAAAATTGTTGCATACTTTCCCAAAATAAATACGTCAACGTGATCGCTGGAGAAAACTCATCAAGTTCAACTCACGAAGGTTCAGCTACAATCCTACGAAAACCACACTCAGAGCATGGTCGCGGGTAACTCGAACGGAGACATGGAAATGCATTGAAAAAATGCGACCTGCAGCAGCCAGCTGGTAGAATTGAGGCAAAACCATCGATGGGATAGGATGTGATAGAAAAGCAAGATGTTAAGCCGTAGGTGGCGAAGACCAAAAAGACTTCCTAGGAAGGCACTTTGCAGACCAAGTGGAATCGTTCCCTTCGTCAACATTTGTGACAGATGTAGGGCGGGATTCAAACGAAAGACAGTCCCTTCTCTTTTTTTTAGTAGTTTGCCAAAACAAATGCATTTTTCTGTTGTCTCGTTCTTACATATTGCCGAGTATGGCGCTCAAGTTGACGAACAATTCGTAAGCAGGGTCAACCGTCACGTTCGCACATTTTCGGGTTTTTGCGACCTCCTCGAGGGGTCCAAATGCGACCTCCTGTTGTTGTTAAGAGTGCGAAAACTGAAGATTCGGATCTTTTAGATTTACGAATCGTAGGTGAGATAGAGTTACGATTTCTTCAGGAAATTCTTTTAACTTTTTTCTTTTGGCATTTTGATCCATCAATAACTTCGTTTGAATTCCTCGAGTAATTAGAACTCGAACACTTACAATTTAACAAGATAGATTAAAGTTTAGTGTATTTTTCGGAGATACAATTGACACATCAAAACCACTTCATCGATTTCCTTAAAGGCAA